CTTCTTCTATCTTCGTGAAATAATTCACCCCCTCCTGTCACGTCCCTGTTACTTTGTCACGCGATATTTGTGCGGAATGTTTTGAAAGACTCGTGAGCAAAATTTTACATGGTGATAAAATGGCGTATTTCTTATATTTTGTTTAGATTTTTTAGTTTCCTCCTGTTATAAAGGGTTAAATGTATTATTAGTGGAATGGAAATGGCTTGGATGGAAGAGTAACAAGGCTGAATTGTTAACAAGCGACATGGGATGACAAAATGGCGCCGAATTTGGACAAAGTTGTGGATTTACCTTGTCGATGGTTAAACTGGTATGATCTACTTGAAACCAAGTTGAAACTTGTTTAAAATGTTCTTGATACCATTATGTCTGAGATGATTTACATTTTTTGTAGGATGTCGACGAGATCGCCGATAAACAGCGGAGTAAAGTGGAGAACTTGGCCAAATACGTCCATTTGCAGGAGGTAGGCACATTTCGAATTATTATTTCGGTCAGAAAATATTAACTATTTTACGCCAAACCAGCGATAATATATTTAAATAAGTACCATTTATGTTTCTATCAAAAAGATTTAGGGAAAAAGGTAATGTAAGTCCACTGCTGTTTATCTGAATTTGCAAGCCACAAATTGACGTTTAACTATGATTATTGCATGGCCATTTTCTTGTGAAATATTAGTGCTAGGCATTTCACACTTACCAATGACCACCCCCAAAAGTACCATCTCTGAACCATATAAGCACCTCAGAATAGCCAAAGCTTTTATGGTTTGGTAGATAGCAGCATGGCGAAAGCGTCGTTTTTGGGTGTGGTCAGTTTCGGACGTTTCGCCCTGGATTGGGGTTCGGGCAGCGTGACCATGTTGACCGTCATGGTCAACTTACCCTAAAACAGTTGAGATTATCTGTCCTAAATGAAATGCATACAAACTCATATACAGGTCCTAGACTATACCGTATATAAGCATACATTAAAGTAGTTTGCGCTTAGTTAAGGCCCTGTACCCGGAGTGAACGCCTGAGTAGGCGTCTTGTTCAATATAATATCGAGTCATATATAAAAGCAAGATTGCGTATTTTGGCATTCAATACAAAACAGGAAAACGTTATACAAAAATATCATATTAATGAATGATATAAACATGTAAAAGTAAAAATACAATAATATTTATATATTATTATAAAACTAAACTTTCAACTATAAAGAGTTGAATGCTAAGAACTAGATTCCAGTCTTCTCTATGCAAAAATTGCACACAATGGCACAATCTTGCTTGATTAGTTTGTATTTGTTTTTCTTTTTTTCAAATTCAAAATGGTAGATATATTTTGAATTTCATCTCATAAACCAAATAAAGTCATTTTAATATGTAAGAATCATTTGCAATTTCAAAATTTAACCCCCCCTCTTCTCCTTTCGGGAAACAAAAAACTATCCCCCCCAAAATAGCCATATTTAAAAAATTAACCCCCCCCTCAAAAACCAGCCCAAATTTCGACTAAATCCCATTGTCCCAGAGCACAAATCCCATCATCTCAGGGGCCCCATAATTGGAGATTATCTCTGTGGCTAGTCCCTGCCCGAATTGTATGTAAATTGTGTAAAGTATTAGTCTTATTTATGTCTGTTATGTTTGGCGAATCTTGTAAAAAAAAAAAAAAAATAAAATAAATCTCAGTGGCTGTCCTGCTCAAATCTTAATCTCATTCCCATTTTCTATTGTTTTTTTGCTGATGAATCCCGGTCCACAGAATATAAAAGATTAGTACCAGAAGGGCCACTCAGCGGTGCAACGTGTCGCCATTTTTTTATGCAAAAATATGCAGTTGACTGGCCAGAAGGCGGGGCCTGCAGCCAATACAGCGTGTTTATTGGCTAGAAAATGTAATCGACTGGCTAGGAAGATGGCGGCCAGCGACACAGAAACTTCAAAGCTTCCGACGTAAGTGGCCCTTCTGTGTGGATCTTTATTCTGTGCCCAGTCCCAGTGCATGAAATCCCATTTTCCCACCCAAAAAATAAGCAAATCCCAGTTCCCATTTTACCCCTTCAGGACCCTCGAGGAAAAGTTAAAAACAGATTTTTGATTAAAGATAATTGATAATTCACTCAAAAATTCAAAAAATAGTGAAACCTTCTTCTGCACTAATGCGCTTGGATGAATATTTAAGTTTTTCAGAAAAAATTCTTAGATTTCCTTAGATTTTTTCTCTTCCTTAGATTTTCTTTTTCGACAGTAGAATTTCCTTAGAAAAGGAAATTTCCTTGAAAATGGAAGCACTGAGTAGGCTATCACTAATAGCCTACTAGTAGCGTAGCCAATCAGAAGGCACGATATGTGATAGCCTACTAGTAGGTTTATACTAATCAGGAATAACCCAGGCCCCAACTTTGTCCCCTGCGGAACACCCGCAGGTACAAGTTCCCACTCCGAGAAACAATCATGTTTCAGCTTAACTCTTTGCTTTCTGCTAGAGAGAAAATCCACGATCCAGTTTAAAACCCATTTCGGTATAAAAAAGTAAAAGAGTAAATCATTTAGTGCGAAAGCTTTTTCCCTTCGGCGAATCAGTTGTTTTAGCTCATTATTGATCAAAATCTTCTTTTTAATGGGGAGTAGAAAGTCAAGACTAAAGTTAATAATATGCTCCAACATTTTCGTTTTATCATCACACGAATCAACACTTTCTACCCAATATTTGACATTAACTTCTTCTATATATTTACCAAAAGCTAATCATTTTGATGGTCGCAAATCCCTTGACATTACAACCGCTTTTGTTCCAGAATTTTTATGTCTTTTTGGTGGTTGAACTTCTACGGTGACGTGATCGGATAGTCCAAAAGGAGAGCGTTTAATTGGAGAATCATAAAATTTTCCCATATTAGTTAAAATCAGATCCAGGATGTTATTACCACGAGTAGGGAAATTTACAATCTGACGCAATTTAAAACTGTTTTTTAACAGACGAACGTTCAATTTATTGAAATCACCAGATAAAATTATCCCACTATTTGGAAATTCTGTTTCGAGTGTTACTGATTCAAAAAGGTAGTTGATCATAGACTGTACATGATCATTTGCCCCTGGTGGATGGTACAGGTTGCATAAAATAATATTAGACACGCCTCTTGGTAAACGAGTCGGTCTTAAATCCAGCCATAACGCTTCGAACTCATTACTTGGAATGAAAGGAAATCGGTTTTCTCCATTTCCCAATCACTCCGAACAATTTCATCCCCATGTAGACAATGTAGACATATTCGAGTTCCTTAATTCTGAAATATTTTCCCGTTATTATAAGGCGACGATTGAATGAATAATTATGAAAATGTACCGTTTTCTAGTGCTGGTGTGGAAAGTCGAAAACGACGTGAAAATTTATATCCGTTTTGAAAATCTCAAAAACGTAGAGATACGAAAACGGGTCAGTGAGAACATACACCTTAGGGCCTGTTTACATGGAGGTAGGGTGACCCTATCAGGAGGGTTACCCTAGCAAGCGGGTCAGAAAATAGCGAGCGTTTACATGAGGTAGGGTGACCCTACTGCTAGGGCTATGTTGCCGGATAGGGTAACCCTACCTATGCGTGGTCGCTAAGCGGTCTGTATTAGATAAATGGCGCCGAAACGCAAAGTTTTAACGGCAAGTTGTGTAATGCTATTTATTGGGCCTTTGCTTGCTGCATTTCAATGTTGTGGTCTGTTATTTCCGAAGTTATTTCAATATCGTGGTCTGTTATTTCAATCAATTCAATGTTGTGGTCTATTACTCGCATTGCGTAAATAAGCGTAATGTATTCCTTGATATAGTCCAACACAACAGTTTTTCGACATGTTCGGCTGACCAAGAGTATTTATTTTGTTTTTTTGACGTCGATGAGGATGCGCCGGAATTTTGCTTCCTTTTCGCCGTCTTTGACAATTTGTTATCGAAACTACATCATTCGCAGCGTTCTCGTCCAAAGTCAAAGCTTCGTTCTATGCCTCTGCTTCCTTATCTGTAAATTGCTCATCCTTTTTATTTTCTGGTGTCGTTTAAAATACTCGCCAGGCTGATATGTTCATGTGTATAATCTAGCGACGCCATATCCTTGTTTGTCTGTCACAGTAGAACGTATAAAACATGACCCGCTTGCTAGGGTAACCCTACCGGACGCGTTTACATGGCTTATGTAAACAAAAAGATAGCCCTGCTGCTAGGGTCACCCTATCTGTTTGATAGGGTAACCCTACCCCTAGGGTAACCCTAGCGCGCATGTAAACGCTTCCTATAAAACATATTGAAGTAGGGTAACCCGCTTGCTAGGGTAACCCTTCTGCTAGGGTCACCCTACCTCCATGTAAACAGGCCCTTAGTATAAACCCACATTTATAAACATCGACAACAACTAAGATATCGACAACAACTAAGCTCAGAAAATGGAGAAATTTATTGAAAAAAGTTCAGTGTAATTTCAGAAAACATGCACATATTTCAGTAAACTATACTTTGATAATAGGAGAATCGTCAGGAAATAGAACCTGACGCATGCTTTATAATATGGTTAAGTAAATTGTACCCACGAAGGCCAAAAAATTTACTCGTGGTCGGACGATCTCAGTGAGTAAACAAGCCCTATGGCCTATTTTCACGTCTTGCAAGTTTTGCTGCGATTTTCTTCTTTTGGTAGACATGAACAAGTGGATGAGTTCAGTGCCGGATTAACCTTTCCAGGGGTCACAAAATGCGAATTTCATGCTTGTGGCTGTAAAAAAGTCCGATTTCGACGGCTAGATCGGACATATAAAACTCATATATTGCAGTTCCTCCAAATAGAAAATGTTTCAGTTAGTTTTGTTTAAGTGACCGTATGCTGTATGGTTGGAAATGTTTTTATTAAAAATGCACGGTTGAGCGGTGAAGATATATAGGATATTAGATGGTTGCGAAGAGATATGGATTTTATGTTTGGCAAAAACAATATCTCACGAGTGAGCGCAGCGAACGAGCGAGATACGCTCACTCGTGAGATATTGTTTTTGACACGAGAACATAAATCCATATCTTCTCGCAACCGTTTAATGTTCTGTTTATTATATGGACTTACCATTTGTATTTTCAAAACAACAATGAAAATAGCGAGAAATTTTCGAACTTCGTATGTCACTATAGCAGGAGTGAAATACGGAAAATACCAGGCCTTAAGGTGGCTCCCTAGGGTTTTTTAATTTACTACACTATAGAATTCAGGAGACTCCTGTTTCTTTACTTTACATGATATGAAGACGAAATTTATTGGACACATTGACAATGTTCTCCTGAACATTACAAATTGCTACTTTTGTGTTAAAAACATGTTGTCATGGCAACAGCATGCTTAGAATAAAGCTCATAATTTGTCTTTTTCAGGTCATTTTAAAAAGTTCCTTCGGTGAAATTTTTTAAAACTTTGTATAAAAGATAATACTTGTATAATGATTTTTTCCCCTCAATTTAAAAAAATTAAATCGATACGTTTCTTAGAAAATTTAAAAAACGTCAAAAATGAATATTAAAAATTTTCCCTTCGATTTAATTTTAGGAAAAAAGGATATTGCACTTGTTGTACCGATATTAAAAAATGTGCAAAGTTTTAAAAAATTTTACCGAAGGAAAACGGAGAAATTTGGGTTCAATTTTGGCATTTTTTACTAGATTTTTACGCGAACAATTTAATACCCCACTGACGTGTACATGCATTCTGCATAAAACAACAAGGCATGACTTTTTCGAAATCACAAAATATAAATTATGTTCGATATACTGTTTATAACTGTGTCGGTTAATGGTCAACTAAGCGTGGATTATACATGTAAAAATGGCAAAGATATTTAGGTAATTACTGGTTATGACTTCTTGGTATTAATTTGAAAAATGTTTGTCAAAATTCGTCCCGTGCGAGTAGTACTATCGTCGGATGTTTTCGCAAAATGCCCGTTCAAATTTCAGTTTTTATAGCGATATGTTTGGAGTTTCGGCCCTGCTCATTTCACCCGTAGAGGGCTCATTATTTAAGTCATCTTTATTGTCATAAGTGCTGCTAGATTGTGGAGAAAACACTGCAAATTCTTGAGGAAACTTTATATCCCAATGTTCACGATTGAACCTCGCGTACGGCGGTTCAAAAAACATCCAGAATACCGCTTGAAAAAAAAACAAGTTTACATTATCTTCTTTTGAACATCACATCCAAGTATCGTTTTGGCTTTTAGAACTTTTTTATGCTTTCAACTGAAGCAAAGCTCACACTTTTGTTTCAAAAAAGAGTTCCATATAAAACACAACGTTCGTTCGTATTTTGAAGTCACACGAGTTTTAGTTTACATATATACGAAGAACGTAACCCCCGGAAATAAAACCCTAGGGAGCCACCTTAAAATATGTTTTTCATGGCCGTCTGACAAAATGTCCGATGACTTTGAGTTGGACATATGTATGATGATGTCTGATGACCAACAGTTTAGTTTAGTTTGGAAATAAATCTGAATGACACAAATATATATTCATACTTATTTCCAAGCTAAAATTAAATTGCATGCCAATAACAACAGTAAGATGTTGACGCTTAAGTTCGTTTTCCACTTCACAATTTCGCTCGCCGCCGTCGACATTTTGATTTACGTTGGACAAAGGCGTGAAAGTAACAGTTCGGTCGGACAAACAACAGACCTCCGTTTCACTTTGGTCGGACAGAATGTCCGGTGGTTTCCTCTGTACGTCGGACAATTTCACGAATGGGTCGGACAATGTCCGTGACCGACCGATATTTTAAGGCCTGAAAATACGCGCACCTGGTCCCAGATGTAGTGACGTATGAGTTCTACCAGTGTTTTAGTTTCCAGTAAAACACCATTGTCCATATAATAAATTCCAATATTACATTGCATATATTTGTTACTGTAAACACCGAGGTATAAGTGAGGTTGCTTTAACCAACGAGTTTAATTATTCGATGATCACATTATATAAACTTTTGAAGGAAAACTATAAATGATTTTTTGTTCGATTTTTTTTGGCCAATGGAAATCTAGGGCCGGGGCAAATGCCCCTTTTGTCCCTTAGATAATCCGGCACTGGATGAATTTTATATTATAAATGCAGATGAGGGTACGCATATTCAGAACATCCACAATTCATCTACTCCTTCACATATATCTGAAGAAGAGAGTCGCACTAGAAATCGCAGCAGAAAGTGTAAACGAGCCGTTATATGGTGCTAAACCTTGTGCTTAACTTTAATTAATGTATTGGTAGTTATTGGAGCGATTACTTGCCATTACATTTAATTGTCACCAGCTACGGTCATCATGCAGAGTTGATCAGCATGTACTGCTCCACTAAGTGAAACCCAGCTGTTGATTCAAAAATGAGTCAAATAACAGTATAAAGTAAAGATGTACACCATGCAAGAGTATGTATTGTCTCTAATCTTCGTCGACATATTCAAATGGTTCAGGTGGTTCCGGCTCGTCCTCTTCGTCATCCATACTGGGTGTTTTAGCAGCTGCAATGAAACAGTCATTGTTCTTAACCAAGGTGGATTAAAGATATTCCTCAAATTAATTAATCAGTCACAAGCGAAACACAAACGAAACCAGCCACTTGCCGAATTCACTGAAGTGAACACCAAACAACCATACTAAATAGCTTGAAGTTGGGCCTGACAATGTAATAGGCTCTTCGCAAATAATCAAAACAATAGGTGACTTGATGACATGGGGAACAGTGGAATTTGCAAAGGAAGAAACATTAGAACATTCCTATCACTGAATCGTGACTGGATGGCACCTTTGTATAAATCCTAAACGACAACGATGTGGTGTTATATAAAGGTGAGCAATCGGCTATTTATAACAAGCAAAAACACCAAATGGTCGAACGTTTTTGCTATTCATGGCCGATTATCCAAATAAACTACACATGACATCCAAACAACTGAACTCAGTGAAATCGCCAAAAGTCTCTTTGAAGGACGTAATGGCTTTGCGTGCCACTTATCCTAATAATAGTGCTATCCAGGTCCGATTCAGTGATCAGAATGTTCCAGTACTCTCCCCATCATCTAGTCACTCATTATTTTGACTTTTATTAGCATTTATCAAAAGATCTATAAATACATTTTGGCGTGTACGTGGGCTACATTTACTGGAAAATACCTGGTAAAGGTTCTAGAAGCTCCTCAGGTTCATCCACTCGGGAATTTCTCATCATGATTACACCTCCAACACTCACCTGAATTTATTACAGATTAACATTATACTTATAAGATAGATTGGGCGAATGCATTTGCAGTAAGGGATCATAGAAAATTGATGGGGGAATCTCATGCTGATAGACCATAGCCTGTCGAAGGGAAGATGGCTGTGAAACGCATTAGAATAACAATATAACTCATTATCTACATGTTAGTCAACGTTTATATTCATAAATACGGTCCTTCACCGTAATGTGTGTATTGTACTTTTACCAAATCCACCAATAGCAATTTCCAAGTAATGGTTAGAACATGGTCACGTGTGCTCTATGGGATATAAAGTCCCAAGAATTGGTTAAAAGGTCACGAGGGGCCATACGACTGCATCCACGAAGGAATTGAAGGCAATTAAAGTTATAATAATGTTTGATGGAAGAGTGTACTTTAATTATATTTGTGTATTCATGCTTACAATTACGATAATGTGTGCAACCCAACTGTACGAGAGTGGCGAGTTTGATGAGCCAACAATTATGGCGAGAACGGGACACAGAAGTACGGCAGCTAGTACGAAGTTATAAACGGCGCTTAACGGCCAAGCGATGAATTTCAGCAAAAAGTATCAGATGCCTTACAAGCACAAATGAGTCAATTGGAAGTAGACAAAAAGTATAGAATCAAACGAAGTTGTCGCAAAAGGAAGTGTGTGAAGAAAGAGCAAAGGAAAGACGTATTGTCTAAAGTACAGGTGATGACGTTAACGCATGGGGATACTATACATTGAATTTGAATTTTGAGTGAAATGAACAGTACTGAATCATGACTCGAACTTCGGCGTATTGAAGTTAGTTTATTTTTTGGGAATTGGTGTATGTGCATGCGTGTTAATTCTAAATAATTCTATAATTATAACGAAAATGCTGCATGGTGTCCTTACTTTGTAATTGTTGGCTCATCAAACTCGCCACTCTCGTACAGTTGAGTTGCACACACTATCGTAATTGTAAGCATGAATACACAAATAATTAAAGTGCACTTTTCTGTCAAACATTATAACTTTAATTGCCTTTAATTGCAGTCATTCTCTAAGACTGTTAGAGCATGATTACTTGGTCACTCGAATTAGTTAAAAGGCCACTCGGGGGCCCCTCGTGACCTTTTAACCAATTCTCGGGACTCTATATCCCATAGAGCACACGTGGCCATGCTCTAACCATTACTTAAGAGCGTTTTTACGTAGTGCTGTTTCCTATTGTCACCAAACCTGATAATCGATAAGCAAAACATGTTTGTCAATCTGAAGTATATTTTAATTTGTATATTTAGGGAACTTACCGGCTTTAAAGGAGAATATCTGCTGTCTTTTGGTAAGCTAATAAGCTTAAGCTGAAATAAAGAAACAACATAGTAAAATCAAATATTCGGTATTTTTCACAAGGAATATTAAGACGACTTTTAATACGACCTAATATCGTATGTTCCTGCAAATGCGTTTACGGACTGGTAAGGGCCATGTTGGTATAATTTGATAAAAACGCGGATAATTCCCACTACGCCAATAGACAAATAGTCTTAATTAATTAAACAATAGAACCAAGAATATTATTTAAAGGGCTCAACATAAACTTATCAAATTTTTCCACACCTATCGTGAACTTCCGGTCAAATTGATGTTGGGCCAACCTGAACGTTTCGTGCAATGAGAAAATACATCATAATGAGAATACATCATGATGTTAGGGCGCTTTCCACCCGCGTCTATCAAATTGTTAAATGGAATACGAAAGGAGTAGGTCCATTTCCCATTTGTATGAAATCCATGATAGCGGAGTCAGATCGTTTACGTACGGAAAGAGAGTATTTAAATAAAAAAATAAAAAAACAAACCCGTATTGTATGATGTTTGTGATGTTACTCTGAGTGTGCATCCACACCGGGCAAGCTGAAAAGTTAGCTTGGCCACGGTGGGAAACGAACCCGCGACCTTTGGGATACTAGTCCAATGCTCTGCCAACTGAGCTACGTGGTCAAGTCGATTCGAGTTGATGATGTTTCGGAACTGAGTCTAGTTCCTTCGATATCAGTGTATTCTATATGATCATATAATACACTGATATCGAAGGAACTAGACCACGTAGCTCAGTTGGCAGAGCATTGGACTAGTATCTCAAAGGTCGCGGGTTCGATTCCCACGGTGGCCAAGCTAACTTTTCAGCTTGCCTGGTGTGGATGCACACTCAGAGTAACATCACAAACATCATATTCACCTGAGTACATAACACCAACACACACAAAATAAACGTATTGTATGGTTGAAATTTATACAAATAACAAAAAAGTTAAAACGTACAAAATAATACACATGCCCAGATCTTGCCAATCAGCATTGAGACGCAATTTTTGGTCTGACTGGGGAATTGGAAAGCATCCTAGGTCACGAAATTGGTCTAATTTTATGAACGAAAAAGCAAGTTTAAAAGAACTCTAAGTTGCGGGAAACATTCCCCTTCGCGATGTTCTCTTTCTGATCAATTTATTCTTTCTCCCATTGCACACCCACGCGTGTTTTAGTACTGGCCACGCAATTGCTTTCACAGTCACATAGACTTGCAACGCAAATTCTGACATAAAACCATGTTATGTAGAAAAAAATTCACAGCGAGTTGCGGTTAGTATTACCCACGTTTCACTTTCCAATGTCTTGCATTCGAATATTTTTCTTGATGCCCTCGATTTCTCAAATTTCGATTTCCAGCCTGCGATCGGTCATACTCTGTCTTACGAGATTGGGGAATTCACTACGGCCTGCGGAGAAGGTAGGGGTAACCGTATGTTCAGTAAGAAAACACCATCGGAGTAAAATGTCCCTACAAATACTTTCTACATAACAATGCTCTGTGTACAAAATTGCGTTGCAGGTCGCGGTAAATTTGCCTCGTGCATGTGTAACATGGGTTATATGGCCATAACTCAAAGGAGAGAGGGTAAATATTTTCTATATTTTAAATGTTATATATTCAAGCAAAACCTAACCTGCGCCTGCATGACCCGAGAAGGGTTATCTAACATTTGTGTGTCAGGTTCTGTTTCTTTTTTACTTTCATCAGCGTCTTTCTTCTCACTTTTATCTTTTTCTACACTGGAATCTTCATCTTTTTCCTTCTCATTCCCTTTCTCTTTCTCCTGGTTTATATTATGGACGAAATACAGTCAGTAAATGAAACGACTGATTTCATTATTCTGATGGGAAATAATCTTTTAGTTGATTGATGTTTGCGTCATCAAATATTTGATTCAGTGACGGTTTATATTAGAAGATTTGTCTCTTATTTGTAAGGTAATGACTAATGAATCTTACAAGCAGTGACAGACATAGACTTGCCACAAGTCAAATTGACTTCCGCAAATTCCTTACTCTTCAAGAAATTACTTCCTTTAAAATTACTTCGTTCTAAACAAAGACGAAGGACTTTGCGAAAGTCTATGACAGACACTTTGGGGTGTCAGGCGCTCATATGGTGGCAACTTAAATTCGCCCCCCCCCCCCCTCGCCCCATATTTCGCGAAGTGTCCACCACTGCTTACAAGCAAATGTCAAGGAAAAGGAGGTGATAGTCTTTTCAAAGTACAAGTTTGTCCTATCATAGGTGCTTGTTGTCCCTTGCTTTGGTCGAGGTCAAATAAAACAGGGCAGCCAGGAGGAAAGAATTCGATAATGAGCAATATCCTCCCCTTAACATTGTAAAGGATTTCAAACGACCTAACTGAACTGTAAGAACTATTTTTTCAAACCGTGCATAACGGAACTGTCTCTAAGTACAAATTTAAAGGCTCGTTTACACTTGGAATTTTTGCAGCGATTTCTAGTGCGATTTTCTTCTTCTGATGGATGTGAAGGAGTAGATGAGTTATGAATGTTCTGAGTATACATACCCCCATCTGAACATTCATTACTCATTCACTCGTTCACATCCATCAGAAGAAAATCGCACCTAAAATCGCATCAAATATTGCAAATGTAAACGGACCTTAAAGGCGGTTTCAACTAGAAAAATTTCGCCTAGTGGAAAAGTTTCGAAAAATTTCGCCTAGTGGAAAACCGCCTTAACAGTTCAGTATTTCAGTGAATCAGACCACAAGTTTAGGAAATAAAATTACTGTTTTTATATCGTACCTGTTTTAAACCTGGTACCTGCGAAACTACTTGTTATTTAATACAAGAACTATTTCCCAATATCAGGGTGTAATGTTGGTCTTCCATGATTGGTAAATTAGGCTTAGTCAAGTACGCAAAATCAATAAATCATGTCCTATGTTGCCAACATATTCAAGATGGCTAGCTTTGAATTAAAATCTGGTAAATCTTACCTTTTGGCTTTTAGTATTATCCTACAAAAAACAGAAACTGCGTTAGGCTAGAACACACTAGTCTTCAGAGATTATTAATAATTTTATAACGCGCAGTTACTCAGTATATCTTATAAAACATATCGAGTTTTCATAACCAGAGTAGTTGCTATGCGTTGCTAGGAAAAATACAACTGAGCAATCAGATTTTGGTTTAAAGCGACGTTGTGATTGGCTGAAGTTTCACAGGCAAAAACTTAAATCCTACATTCCTACAAGATTGTTTATTATATATATCAAGTACAAGTACAAGTATAAGTAATTAATGAGTGAATGATTGTAAAAATTGTAGTGAAGCAATAAATCTAAACAGGCCCTGCAAAATCGTCAGTGACCTTTCCGCAAAGGAACGAGGGCATAAAGGCAGCGAAGACTGAGATTATTACCACGTCCATGGGCTCCTCTTTTTCCGTCGCATCTTTCTTTGTCTTTTTGGCTTTTGAAGAATATGACAACACAGCTTTGGTTACCTGAAGCAAGAAGAACAAAATAAAATTGGACAAAAAATAAAATGTTTAATTAAACTAATGCAGCAAGTAATGCGACGACACATTCACTTTTTTCTTTCATTAAACGCTTTCAATGTATATTTCAGTTTTGGATACCAAATGTTTTGTTTATTTTGGACACCAAATGTTTCAATGTCTATCTGGAGGCCTTCTTAATTTTTCTCAAAAAATGAACAGAATGATTCTCAACCTTCTCCCTCTCTTCTTTCTTGGGCGGTTTCAGAGCTTCGGGGTAAGCAAACAGGGACGGTTTAGCATTGGATATAAATTTCATTTTTGGCATCTGCAAGAGGATGTATTTATGTTAGCATACACAATGCCTAGTACTATAAAGATTACACTGGATACAGCATACTAAACTGTGTATTATAAGTCAGTGACACTGTATTAACGTTTTCAGAACAATGCATAGATAAAGACCCTCTCGGGATTTCACTAGGTCCTTTTGAAGTACGAGGTATTTAAAGATTTCGTTGGGAAAGACTTTCAAAAAGTTCACACTCATTGGCAGACGCGGGGAGGGATTGCGATGACCAAGCGCACAATTAGCCATTTCCCAACGTCCTGGGTCTAGTCGCGCAAATCCCAAGTTGGAGGGACAAGAAATATGGCAGCAAACATTTAAATTAAAAGTTTAATGTAAAAAGGAGATATTTCATTTTCATAGTAGTCATCTAAAAAGTTGATATTTGATAGTAGATACTTCTACTCTTTCACATATTTGACGCCTGTCACCATATATTTTGTCCCTCCAAACGATCCCAGAATGCACTGTGATCTCTTTTGGGAAAAGGCTATTTGCCTAAAGCATGAGGCAAAAAGATATTACAACCTTACGATATATAAAAAATGACCACATAGAAATCCTACACGGAAACAGAATTTTCGATAAGCTAAATTTCAAAATTTTCCGACTGAGTGGAATGTCCCCAGATCACTCTGCTCACTAAGTACGCCCAAATGCATTAATCAGTTTAATAAACAAGACAATATATACCTTGACATCAGAGTTCAAACCAATAAGACAAGTGGGTGTGAAAGCCAGAGAGATAAAATGTGTAAGTGGGAACCAGTACCAATAGTGAGTAAAGACTAATAATCCAACCACAGACATCATATGTGTGTGACCAGCTCGAGATTGGAGAGAAATTGTCACATTCCTTCCACCTAATCAACGATCAATCGACATTTTATTACATTAAATTTAGGGGTGCACCGGTACTCAGTTCCGGTCGCAACACTGATCTTTTAGGGTTTTGATCCCGGTTATGATTAAACCGGAACTATGTTTGCATTAGACATTAGAGAAAAGAATAACAGATCATATTAATGACACCAATTAATTTCTTTATTTTTGAACAGATCGCATTACTGACACCATTCTAATTATGTCTCAATCAATTCCATGGGTGCCCAACACCCCCCCGGGCGTTTGTCGGGCTTTTGTCATTTTGGCGAAAAAACGTTGCAAATGCCCCAGTATGGGGTCCAAATAATGCAACAAAATCCCCACCCTTGGGGACTTATATTGACGCAAATGCCCCACCCTTGGGGGACAAAATATAAGTTTTCTGAGGATTTCTGATCCAAAAAATCGAATCCAAGCTCTATCACGTATCAATTTATCTGTATTTAAAATCGATTCTATAGGCATTTCGTTTTAAAACGTTTTTAATTAAAATATTGAAGTCTCAAAACTTTATATAGCAATATCAAACTGCAGAAGTAAGTCAATGTATCAACAGGATGGACAAGAAAAAAGTCTTGTGTTATTCCGCCATGATTAATTTGCGATACGCACGCTGGTGTAAACATGCGTACTAAAGTACGGCTAAATGGCGAAACAAGCGATAAATATTCGACTTTTTAGCCTCGAGCAAATTCCCCACCCCGGGGCTAACCTGCAGAAAGCAAATGCCCGACCCTGGGAACAAGTACAGTTGAGAATGCCCGACAAACGCCCGGGGGGGTGTTGGGCACCCATGGAATTGATTGAGACATTACATAGACATACTACCATCGACATCTATTCCAACTTTTTAGTACATCCTTCATGAATTTAAGTTTGTGCCTTTCTCACATCAGATAAAATAGCGTTTAACCATAAATGATGAAATAAGCTCAAGTGGCGGCCAGATCGAAACTTAAAATATTGGTTCTGATGCACCCCTAATTAATTTTATGTGATTTAGCATGAAAAGTGGTAATACATGATTTGAGGAACATACCAGCGTCTAAAATTCCTTGCGCAATGATAGAACCAAATTTGGCCATTTGATCTTCATGTTTATCTGCAATAACTTTGGAATATATCTCACGGAATTTTGACACCTAAAATAAAGTGAAGTACATCATTTAATTACTTGAAAATTGCTTGATAAATTATATATCTCATTATTACCTTGGAATTTGTATGATCATTGTGTTGTATTAGTAAGAGAGAGCTTGCGATAAGAGCACCCTGCAAACAGAAGCATGTATTATTTTCAGTGAACATGGATTTTCTAAATATATCAGAGTTACGCAATGTAATAAATTGGCAGAAATTGTAGGACGGGAGGGTGGGGGGAGGTTGCACTATACGCCTCACCTGCCGGACGTAATTAACTGGGTCATTCGTCATTGGTTCTACAATACTCACTGCTTCCTAAAATTTGAATAAAACATTTAGTTTTTTCCAACAATTATAATCGTCTTCCGTGAAACACAGAAATTTAAACAAGGTATCAAGATAGGTCAAGGTATATCCCTATAGTATATAAAATGTATTAATGTTAATGATACCTTGAGTCCAGTACCAGCACACGATATACCAAGAGCGATAGCTGCTCCATATCGGACATGAGGATTATAACTCTCCGATAATAATGATACTACACTGGGACATTGCTCAGGCGTCCTGGAATTAAAAATATCGTGAAATGTAATTTAACTGTACAGTAAAACTTTCTAAAGAGATTCCAATAAAGCCAGTGAAAAGGGGGACGCATGCTGGATAACTGGTACGTTTGCACACTGCGATTTGTCGTGTACGATTCGTATTCTGGCGTATGTAATCAAATGAGCACGCGTAAAATAGTTGCATCTCAAATTTCGCTGTTAACTATACGAAGAGGAGTTGTGACGTCAGTAGTAATTTTCATACGCCAGAATACGAATCGTACACAACAAATCGTAGCGTGTAAACTTTACAGTAACGAGTAGCCTTCCATACTTTAGCCTTATACAGTAACTTTCATGGAAATCAAATAAAGTTCGTTCAGCGATTCAAATTGACGCGTGCATGGACGATACATCGAAACGTCGTGTGTATATATACAGTGTATGTATACTGTTTGTATATACAGTATATAAATGTATGTCCTCCCCTGATCTCATGCCATCTCCCAGAACATCGAGAGATTTCTCACGACCCAAAGCAAAGAATTTCCCAGAAAACTTTGACGTCATAATCTTAAATCAGCAGAAACAGCGGTATATCAGAGAGGCAACCCTTTATTAAAGGGACCTGAACTCAATGTTGCCCTTATTCCCGCCTGGTCATGTCATGCAGTTATGTGTTTAAGATTATGAAAATGAACAGTACCTGAACATTAAAAATCCTAGAGAAACGACAGCCGCTCTTCGCACGTCATCATTAACATCACTAACCTAAAATATTTCATAAATTACTTCAAATTAAAAACATGTACTTCATGTATCGAAATGGGCATGGCCAAAGGTACCATGATAATAGACAAACTGGTGGTTGCACGATGACAATACTGTATGTTTTCAAGCACGTTTGAGGCGTAGTGGAAAGAGGACGTAAGAGGAGCCCAAACACATGAAGTGAGGCATGCAGCAAATTACCATGAACATCCATGGGCCAATCAACAAATCTAATCACTACACATGTGTTGTCGTGTAGGGGAGGGATAAAGAGGCGGGCTTATACGAAACTTCCCATGAAAGGGCGCTTATTACAGTGAGTGACCTATTTGAGGGAGGGGGACTTAATCACTTAATACAGAATTTACGGTAATTCTAGCTACCGCATGCGCGTGTGCTGTCCATTCAAGTATACATATATATCTTGTACACATATTCCTTTAAGATAACGACTTACCGCCACATGTAATAACTGTTTAATAGCTTTATTATTTCCAGTTCCACAATATGCCATTGCAATGGTGTACATTCCGCAGATACGTAAGTTAGGATCTTTATCACGGAAAAGATCATCGATGAGAGCATCAGCTTCCTCCATGCGAGAATACATCACCTGAGATGGTGAATGACATGGATGTGATATAAGATCTATATATTACGGAAATCTCGAAATGAAAGCCAATGTACAGAGATTATATTCGTTTAGAAGCTATTTTGATTAAACAAATATACTCGGTGGGGTAGGGCGCAAGGTAAGGGCTCTGTTTTCACAAACAAATGAAAAGGGCAAAAGGCTAAATTGTCGAGCTAGTTTAAATTTCGTATATTTTCATAACCAAACGCTTGGAACGGATTAATTCTATGAATGATAGATATGATAACTATGAATGATAGAGATGTTGTGAACATATTTATTGTATATGAACAGATCACATGACAGGCCCAGCTGATCACGGTCATGTACAGGCTGGATAACGTTCCACTTTCAGCGTTAGTAGTTTTATAAAATTTACGCTATTTTATGTGGTGTTAGCTTTGGTGAAAACGTGGTCAAATCTGTTGTCGTGCTTACCAGAGATATGCCAAGAGCTAATCCTCGGAGTATTTTTTCGTGCTTTGTCTCACGAGCGTACTAGAAATTTAAAGTTATATATATTATATAAGGTTGCATGCTGAGCAGATTTTGATTAAGAAAATTATTATAATGGAAACTATAGGAAATCGTGAATCAGAAACTGTGAATAGGCAATTCCAGCTTTTAGTTTATGCCTGCAGGGGATGGTGGGAAATAAGGTATCATATTGCTGATTATGCTGAAAAATCTCAATAAGCACTCAGTGCCGAAACAATCGAAATATTTCAATATTTACAAGTATAAGCTATCACTCCGTGTTTACACGGCCACCATTTTTATTTTTTCAGCATAATCAGCAATGTGATACCTTACTTCCCATCATCCCCTGCACGCATAAACTAAAAGCTGGAATTGCCTATTGGCTCTATTATTTAACAATTATTCGCCAAAGGTGAGGTGATTATCGATGAATAAAAACCGAGCTTTTTATTCACGATAATCACCGAGCCTGAGGTGAATAATTGTTTTAGTATAATTTCATGGATGATTATTTGGAAAAAATAAAAAATACACATTTCTTCGTCATTTAATTGACAAAAGGCTTCGGCCGCCACTTCGAAAATCGCTTATGTGATTATCGCGTTATAATCACCTCAACGGCAACCAATCAGCGTGGAGAATTTTCAATAATCACCTATATGTAATTATACTAATTCCATTTATATCAAAATGTATATCCGCAGTGCTACATGTAATGTCACCCAATGAAATTTCACACCAAGCACAAAGTTGCCAGGCATGACAGTATGTTTGGGTAGTTTATCTCCCCTTTCCTTACGCAGACTGTTCAGTGTATAAACAATCTAAAGAAGCAAACTTCAGAAAGGGCTGCAACTGAACATCAAGTGAAACCCATTGAGATACGGATGCACAAGATGTACAAAATATTAAGCGACGTAAGTCTGTTCTAGTTTTTATCTTGTTTTATTGCAAAAAGTGCAGTGCTTTATAGAGATTTAAAATACGCATTAATAATTCATAAACCTTGTGGCAAATCATGTCAGCCATAATATGTCACGTGGAGTGACTTTATATCTGATAAAACACATGTGGCATTATATAATTGTTCATCCTAATTAGCATGATTATATAATGGTTCATCCTAATTAGTATTCTTTTGTAGTCGTATTTTAAGCTATTCAAAACACTCGTTGTTGTGTTTTATCAGATATAAAACACTCCTACTCGTTTTTTAAATAGTACTTCGAGCACTGATAAAATTGATAATCTCACATGTGAGATTATTTATGATAATTTCACATGTGAAAATTATCGCTTTTCAATTATCGCTTTTCTGAAAAAATTATCGCTTTTCAAAGACTGTCCTTTATATAATAAACAGAAAAATACATGGGTGCTTGGAAATACCAGATTTATTTCTCGTGTTGATATATCATGCTCAACACTCGAAATGAATCTGGTATCAACGCGCACCCATGTATTATTCTCTATATAATAACCTTGCGCCTTAGACGAGTTAATATCGTGTTACAATACCTTACATTACAAAATATACATTAGAAACGTTTTCTGCAGTCTACATAATTTAGTTTTAAAACAGTTTTAATGAAACAGATTGATTCATTGAAAGTCATGACAAAACTACTTCGTACACCTTTTCACAGCTATAAAACTCGCCACAAATTCCTGTTGAAACGATAGCTCTATGAGTAGTGTCGGACCAGAATCCCAAAGGTGCGAGTTAAAATATGCCATGAAACAGAATCAGATAAAATTATAGTATTTTACATACAACATCGCATGAATTATAAGAAGCAACTAATACGTTCCTTGAGAACATCCTAACATGACTTATATACAACGCCCATTTTTTTGTGCGAAATTGGAGGTCTAAATTGGAAATGACAGTAAAAGCACAGAGCCTGATACAACGTTCAAGAATTATCCAGAAAAAATGTCGAAAATTTTCAAGTTTTGATGGACATTTTTTCGATTTCATTTGACCCCCATGCAGGCATCCATTGGGCAAGTCACGTCAATAAATAATAATATGCAGGGTGAATGGTTAACCCACTCTTTTAACCCAGTCTTCAAAGAAAAACAAAATATAGCAATCAATTTAGCATTTGGTGGGACAAACTTCACTTTGGTTGGAAAATGTCCGATGACCGATCGTTATTTCAGGCTCTGAAGCACAATGCATACTTACAGCAACCATATCGTCAATAGCAGTTGAAGAAAACGAGCCTAACATGACCAAACCCATGGATAACCCTGCAGCTTCACCTATAATAAAGTATTTTAGTTTCAATAAGTCACTGTACAGCTACAGTATCTTAGAAGGATAAATGTTGAAACTATATAGGATAGGAGAAATTGGGTGAACACCCATCACCTCAGCATAAAATAATTATTCCCTCACCCAACCTCTGATGTCATGAAGACTTTGACCCACCCAAGAACTAAGGACAATTCCCTCGGTTAAGTTAGAGTTATAAACCGACTTTCGAGGTTTATAACTAACTTATATCTCATTTGTGGAGGTTTTCTAACATATTTTGTCATTTTCAAAAACTTTTGATGAAAAATTCTCGCGTTTTGTCGAAAGGTTTGATGTAATTATTTATTCAAGGTTTATTAGCTAGTTATAAACCTCGGACGATCAAAGAAAACCGACACAAATGAGATATAAGTACTGTAATAATTTCCTTAAAGGATTACGTATTAAATAGAATTAGATAAACACAATATTTATGGAACAACTACGTTCATTTATTATTTGAACTGAGGAAAATCCATTGGTTACAAAAAAAATAAACAAAATATAAAACCAGTAAGTCATGCAATAAGAAAAACAACAACGAGTCCTAAAGATCTTTATACATTTTCCGTTCGACGTTAGCGGTTAGCAGTTTGTCGTTTAACGCATATTTTGGATATAGTTTTCGATGCTCCGTAACTTTTTGCACGAGTAGCATCGAATTTCGGCGTATACAAGCCGTAACACTTAATAGCCAAATGTAACTTGGACATAAAGATTTAATTAAAGTAGAACAAAAGAAAGAAAACACCGAGGGAAATGACTTAGGGGGAAAATCGCTCCAGCTGTCGAAAACGTGTAAAATCTACGGAAAACGTAACCTCCAGGCATAGTTACGTGTTTCCATGCGGTTTGGGGTTGACAGTAAAAACCTAAATTCCAAACGTCCCTAATGAATATTATACCTGTGACGGCATCATCATGATACAGATTGTCCTTCAATTGATTATAAATATCTATATAACATAAAACAGAGTTTATAACTTCCTTTATAATATAACATTTATAGTATGTGAGCGTTGGTTGGTCAAGAAGCGTGTTCCTATAACTGCATGGAAACACGGGAAATTTTTTTCTAAAATTTCTAGAAACACTTGTGGTAGTTTGGAAGAATTCGAAATAAAAAAATCGCCCTTTGGGCTCGTTTTGCGAGCTGAGAACCATTTTGCGAACATTCATTTCCACACAAATATGTTAGCATGTGAACATTACCTTCTCTGGCTGTACCCATAGCAGCAAGACCTAATCCAAGACAACCTCCATGACGAACCATCTAGAAAAGATTTAGTAGTAAGAGGGGACTGCTAATCATTCCAACTTCCGGCTGAGAGTTAAGCTGAATTACAAAGACGCAGCTATAAACACATTATGACTCATGCCCTACGGTTGAATGCTTAGTTTGGGGCTCATCCCAACCAACCCTGTCAACATACATTGCCTGCGAGTGGAAACCGGAGTACTCAAAGAAAACCCATGACTTTCGGTATTATATCGAGCGTTGACGGACTCTTTTCGTAAATGCCAGAGTGCACAGCGAGAATCGAACCTACGACAATCGAACCTACGAGAATCGAACCTACGAGAATCGAACTTACGAGAATTGAATTGATTGATCATTACAGCAGAAAAGCCTTCTATGTTTGCAGAGCCGAGACGATGGTTTTCTCGACTTCTGAATTCTGCTGTCTTGTGCTAATGTTTTAAAGTATTCAAAATTCTATGAAATGTTCCGCCCAAAACACGTGCCATGAGATTCCAGTTTTCAGTGATCTCTGGGAATGTGCCAGCGACCTACTGCATAACACGCCTGCGGCACTCCGCTGTCCACAATAAAATTAATGTTCACCTAGTGCATATTTGTTTTCTTCAGGCATGGCACATATTGGGGTTGTTCTTTGGCCAAACCGATAAAAAAAATCAAATAAATTTTAATACTCCGATATATACTTACATCACTTGTCGCACTCTTCAGTTGCTGTAGAATATAGTCAATAATTTTGTCCCCATGGTTTGCATGAATTAGGCCTAAAGGCAGAACAATGATCCCATTGTCATTGGTGAAACTTCGCACATCAATCAATCAATTAATTATAAATAGAGTAATAATATTGAGCATGGGTAGTTTTGGGTCTGCTACCACTATAACAATGGCTTGCGCACAAAAGTGGAAGGCTTAAAATGGAATTTGAATTCATAGGATGCAATTCATTTGTGTTTTATGAATGATCAAAGTACCAGACAATACATTTTTTGCCATAGTAGCCTTTCACGCATAATTTTAAAACTTTTTGTAAAGAGTATGTAAGAAATCAATCA